CCTTTGATGTTTGTGGGTTTTTCTTCAGTCCTAGTTCTTCTTCCTGCATCATTTGACTTACTGATGTCAAGTGAGGTGTTCTTGACATTTGGTCTTGTCTTTATATCCATTCTTTTTATTACCTTGTTGAATTGTCTTCCCAGCAGAACCATGGCCTTTGATAGACTTTCATTTGTATCCTCATCAAATTCATCATCTCTTCTTTCAGTATTTGACACAAAAGCTATGCTCTTTTTCTTGTCAACTTTGTCACTTACTCCTACTTCAAAGGTTAACAGAGAGCCAATGAGTTCATCAACTCTCATCTTACAGGTGTATTGAGCTTCCTCTATAGCAGTTACTTTCATGTCAAATTTCTTGGGAAGAGATCTAAGAATTTTTCTTACCAACTTTTCTTCAGACATCTTTTCATCTAGAGCACTTGAAGCATTGGCAATTTCAAGAATATTCATATGAAAGTCATGTATGCTTTCATGATCTTTCATCCTCAGGTTTTCAAACTTAGTTATAAGGAGTTGAAGTCTAGACATTTTTACCTTGGATGTGCCTTCATGAGTAGTCTTTAGAATCTCCCATGCTTCTTTAGCAATTTCACAGTTGTTCACCAACCTGAATATGTTCCTATCAACTCCATTGAACAAGGCATTCAAGCCCTTGGAGTTTCCCAGAGCTAGATCACCTTCTTCCTTTTTCCATTCTTCCTCAGGCTTTAATTCAGTTGTAGCCTTTCCATATTTATCAATAATCACAAGATGTTCCCATCCCTTTATGACAGCTTTTCGTGCCTTGCTGTCCAGAGATTTTAAGAAAGCAACCATCCTGGGTTTCCAATAATCATAATTATTCCCATCCAAAACAGGTGGTCTGTTCACAAATCCTCCTTCTTTGTCCATGGTACCAGAAAGTATCGTCCCTAGATCTCACCCAGAACCAAAGAAGGATGCCTGCTCTGATACCAATTGAAATTCTGGTATTAGATATTAGATGTCGAAGGTGATATTCACGAAGATAAACAAATAACAATTGTAAAGAGACACAACAATTGTTAATCAAGTTCGGTGAAAACACACCTACGTCTGGAGGCTACCAAGCTAGGAAAGGAAATCCACTAAGTAGAATTAGTTTGAAGACATACAGTAGACTCACTCTAGTTTACCATCTTCTCACCTAATCTCTACCCTTGCAATTTCTATCTAGGACACTCCTAGATATGAGACACCTCTCACTCCCCCTCAATCACAGCAGTGATATCAATCAACACAAAGGAAGACTTTAAAAGACACTCTTCAAAGTCACAACTTGATCTTGCTTAAAAGCTTCAATCAAGTACAATACACTCTTGCTTACAAGCTTTGCGTGAACAATTTACAATTAATAATCTAATCCAATTCACACATTAAATAATGAATGAATGACTCACAAAACTAACACACACGAAGCTTAAACCTTACACAATTACACACACTTTTTTAATCCTTGCTTCTCTTGTATCAAGCTAGGGTTTTCCGCCACTTTAAATAGTAATGTAGAATGGGCTTGGGTTGTGACAAAAGTAACAACAGGTTTTGGGAAGATTTCAATCTTCATAAATTGCCACAATGAAACAAGTTTGATTTGATTAATCAGATCTAATCAAAGAATCCTTCCAATCTTCAATCAATCTTCTGAGAATAACTCCATATCAAATAATATTTTAATCCACAGTAAGTGTATCAGAAACGCCATTAGAAAACCACTAAAAACACACAGATTCTACACCAGAATAGTGCAACAAGATTGCACGTAAAGAAATAGACAGACAAACATATTCATACAGAATGTTTTGTCCATAAGTGTCAGGACATCATAAGATAAGTCCTGCTGCAACATCCAAAGCAACCTGCAAAATCTTAAAGGCAGATGTCACGACATCCTGTAGGACATCTTGTGATTACACCTAGTTTTACCAAAATGCCTGCCAATCAAGAACTAACAACTTTAATTTTTAATTATTTTCTCAAATGGGAATATGGCGTCAAAATTCCCAGCCAACGGGTATCTGAAAGGAACTCTTGACTATGCCATTTTGTTTCCTGCAGCTAATGAAGGAAAAGACTGAAAGATAGTGGGATACACTGACTCAAGTTGGTGTAGTGATGTTGAGGATAGAAAATCCACAACTGGTTATGTGTTTATGTTAGGTGGTGCACCAGTTGCTTGGAGTTCGAGAAAGGAGCTAGTAGTGGCATTGTCATCATGTGAAGCAGAATACATAGTTGTTTCTCTTTGTGCATGTCAAACAACATGGATGGTGAACTTGGTCGAAGAGATTACAGCGAAGAGTCATGGAGAAATTACCATGAAGATCGAAAGCATGTCAGCTATCAACTTATCAAAATGAGGTTCCATTATCTTCCTGAGTAGGTAGCAGAAAGGAAGATGAACTTGGAACACTGCAGAACTGAGAATCAGATTGCAGACATTATGACGAAAGGAGTGCAAGTCGAAGTGTTCAAGAAGTGAAGTTTATGATGAACATAAATAGTTTAGACATAATGAATTAGATAATGTGTTAAATATGTAATTCATTATTTTAGAAAGATTTGATTTGATTTAGAAAGATTAGATTTGATTTAGAAAGATTATATTAGATATTTTTGGGCTTTTATAGTTTGAGTTTTAGCTTGAGATGCAAGTTAACCTAAACCTATAAATAGGGAGGAATCCTTATCATTGTAATCATCAAGTTTACTATAAAGATTTAAAAATGTAAATTATAAAAAAAAGACATGATTGATCTTGCTTAAAAACTTCAATCAAGTACAATACACTCTTGCTTACAAGCTTTGAGTGAACAATTTACAATTAACAATCTAATCCAATTCACATATTAAATAATGAATGAATGACTCACAAAACTAACACACACGAAGCTTAAACCTTACACAATTACACACACTTTTTTAATCCTTGCTTCTCTTGTATCAAGCTAGGGTTTTCCGCCACTTTAAATAGTAATGTAGAATGGGCTTGGGTTGTGGCAAAAGTAACAACAGGTTTTGGGAAGATTTCAATCTTCATAAATTACCACAATGAAACAGGTTTGATTTGATTAATCAGATCTAATCAAAGAATCCTTCCAATCTTCAATCAATCTTCTGAGAATAACTCCATATCAAATCAAATTTGATCCACAGTAAGTGTATCAGAAACGCCATTATAAAACCACTAAAAACACACAGATTCTACACCAGAATAGTGCAACAAGATTGCACATAAAGAAATGGACAGACAAACATATTCATACAGAATGTTTTGTCCATAAGTGTCAGGACATCATATTTGACATCATAAGATAAGTCCTGCTGCAACATCCAAAGCAACCTGCAAAATCTTAAAGGCAGATGTCACGACATCCTGTAGGACATTTTGTGATTACACCTAGTTTTACCAAAATGCCTGCCAATCAAGAACTAACAAATTTAATTTTTACTTATTTTCTCAAATGGGAATATGGCGTCAAAATTCCCAGCCAACGAGCATCTGAAAGGAACTCTTGACTATGCCATTTTGTTTCCTACAGCTAATGAAGGAAAAGACTGCAAGATAGTGGGATACACTGACTCAAGTTGGTGTAGTGATGTTGAGGATAGAAAATCCACAACTGGTTATGTGTTTATGTTAGGTGGTGCACCAGTTGCTTGGAGTTCGAGAAAGGAGTCAGTAGTGGCATTGTCATCATGCGAAGCATAATACATAGTTGTTTTTCTTTGTGCATGTCAAGCAACATGGATGGTGAACCTGGTCGAAGAGATTACATCGAAGAGTCATGGAGCAATTACCATGAAGATCGACAGCATGTCAGCTATCAACTTATCGAAATGAGGTTCCATTATCTTCCTGAGTAGGTAGCAGAAAGGAAGATGAACTTGGAACACTGCAGAACTGAGAATCAGATTGCAGACATTATGACGAAGGGAGTGCAAGTCGAAGTGTTCAAGAAGTTAAGTTTATGATGAACGTAAATAGTTTAGACATGATGAATTAGATAATGTGTTAAATATGTAATTCATTGTTTTAGAAAGATTTGATTTGATTTAGAAAGATTATATTAGATATTTTTGGGCTTTTATAGTTTGCGTTTTAGCTTGAGATGCAAGTTAACCTAAACCTATAAATAGGGAGGAATCCTTATCATTGTAGTCGTCAAGTTTGATAATCACCGTTTTCAGTTGCAAAGTGATAATAAAATTCCACAGTTGTGAGCAGGGACAGGTAGGGGAGACTAGTACCCGTCCTCATGGGTACCCATTGTCATCCCTAACTTCGATTCTAATAGCAAAATCGGCGACGGCGAAACACCTCATAATTATTTTATTTGTTCATTGTAGATTGGAATGACTTGATTTTCATTAACCTCTTTATTTCCACTTTGGAAGACTGAATCTGTAAAAGCTAATTGTGAATCATGGTCAATCACTTTTTCAATTGCTATCTCTAGACTCCACCTCCTTTCAAGAGAAATATTTTTGCTGCGAGATTGCTCCAAATTTAATAGGTTTCTTGTGGCAAACTTATCAGATGAAACACCACTTGATCTCTAGCTCTCACTAGCTTTGTTGTCCTCCATATCAACTGAAGCAGTATGATGAATATGCACCTGCTTTTACATTCGTCATTTCTTTATCACTTCCCTGTTTGGATTTTCTGTTTTTTTACAAAGTTTTTTTTAGTTTAAAGAGTGTGATTTGTGTGTTTTTTTACAAATTTTAATTTTACCTGAATTATTTAGAATAATTTTAATTTTAAAACTGTAAATTATAAAAAAGACATGATTGACATTTTAAAATTATATAAGAGGTGCCAAAGTTGAATTCTAGTGTGTTGGCCGTGTCTCATAATTCACATCAACCTTCAATTATTAAGTATTCATTAGTCAAAGTCTTCCCACGAATCACTTCACTTGAACTTACTATAGATATGGCAAGAACTAGCTTGTTTGATGAAAACATTGAAATGATATGGCAGAAACTGCACTGTCATTTGTTTTGCAACAACTCGGCCAATTTGTATTAAAAGAAACTTTCCGATCTGTAGTAGAAGAAAGAACTTCAGTAGCAAGACTTGAAAAAGACTTGGATGGCATCAAAGTTAAACTTGAGAGGATCCACGACTACCTCAAGGATGCAGACACAAGGGCTTCTGATCATGGTGCCGGAGTTACAACTTTGGTGAAGCAGCTGAGAGAATTATCTTTTCAAATACAAGATGTCCTTGATTACTACATCATGTATGAGGCAGAAAGAGTCAACCATTCTGGATTACAATCACCATTCCAAGTGATTTATGGTTTGATCAAAACCAGGAATCGACGCAGCCAGATTGTTTCTGAGATTCAAGACATCAAGTTATCACTTGATGAAATCCAACAAAGTACAGGCTTTGAGTTTCGGTCTGAGAGTGGATCAGGAAGCTTCAGAGGGGCTAAAGCTCCTAGAACTGGTGAAGATCCTCGATCGCATCCTTATTTCATTGAAGAAAAAAAAGTTGTAGGGTTTGAGTTGCCAAGAGATGAATTGGTTGGTCGCTTGGTGTGGGGAAACAATCAGCTCATGTTGGTTTCTGTGGTTGGCATGGGAGGACTCGGGAAAACCACACTCGTTAAGCACGTTTTTAATAGCGAGCTAGTGATAAAGAAATTTCCTTGTAGATGTTTCATCACAGTTTCTCAATCATACACTATCGGAGAGTTGTTGAAAGAAATGATAAGGAAGTTTTGCAAGATCTGCAATGAGCTTATTCCACAGGGTCTGCAGAAGATGGAGGGTGAAACTTTGATTAATCAAGTGAGACAATACCTTGTGTCAAAAAGGTACTTGGTTATTTTTGATGATGTCTGGAACGATAAATTTTCTGATGAGATTGCACGTGCCTTAATTAATAATAACAGTGGAAGTAGAATCCTTGTGACCACAAGATATATGCATGTAGCAAAGTATTCTATAAGATATTTTCCCATTCATGTTCACCAGCTACAACCTTTGCCTCCAGAGAAAGCATGGGAACTGTTTTGCAACAAGGCGTTTAGAGGGCAGTGTCCAACAGATCTTGAGGGCGTGTCCGAAGAAATTGTTCAAAAATGTGGAGGGCTGCCACTAGCAATTGTGGCCATCTGTGGTCTGTTGTCAACAAAAGGCCAAGACATTTCTGAATGGGAAAAGGTAAGTGAAAATCTGAGAATGGAAATACATGGCAATGTGCTTTTGAATGACTTGGTAAAGATTTTATCTTATAGTTATGATGACTTGCCTTACCATTTGAAATCATGCATGCTGTATTTTGCAATATATCCTGAGGACTACATAATCAATAGGAAGAGGCTTACTAGACAATGGATAGCGGAAGAGTTTGTGACGCACGAGGAGGGAAGAACTTTGGAAGAACTTTCTGAAAAGAACCTAACAGAGTTGATACATAGAAGTTTAGTGAATGCTACCAAAGTTGGATTTGATGGAAAAGTCAAAAGTTGCCAAGTCCATGATACGCTGCGTGATGTGATCATTAAAAAAATGAAAGGATTAAGCTTTTGTAATTCGTGCTGTAAAGATGGCGAACAAGTCATTGTTGAAAAAACTAGACGCTTTTCTATAGCAGCTATCTCCAACAATGACTTGACAAACACAAGCTACTCAGGAATTCGTGCTATATTTGTTTTCGACAAAGGTGAATTTCCTAATGACTTCATAGATGGATTAATTGCTAAGTTCAAGCTTTTGAAAGTGCTGGATTTTGAGAATTCTTTGTTGAAATCTATTCCTGATGACTTGGGGAATCTGTTCCATCTAAGGTACTTGAACCTGAGTCATACAAAAGTTATGGTTCTTCCTAGATCCATCGGTAAGCTAATCAACTTAGAAACCTTGGACCTAAGGCAAACTCAAGTGCAAGAGTTACCAGAAGAGATAAACAAGCTCACAAAGCTAAGGCTTCTTCCGGTTTATTATAGAAAATATGAAGGGCATTACTCTATGTTGAACTTTACAACGGGCGTGCAAATGCAACAGGGTATTGGGTGCTTGACATCGTTACAAAAACTTTACTTTTTGGAAGCAGATCATGGTGGAATAGATCTTATCCAAGAGCTCAAAAAGTTGAGACAGTTAAGAAAGTTAGGCATAAGGCGCGTGCGCGGAGAATATGGAAGTGCATTATGTGCTACAATACAAAAGATGAAGCACCTCGAATCTCTAAACGTTACTGTTATAGCTGAGGAGGAAATCCTTGACTTGGATTTTATAGCTGAGGAGGAAATCCTTAAACTTAAAGTGCTCAACTTGAAAGGTAGATTAAAAAATTTGCCTAATTGGATTCCAAATCTCAAGTGTCTTGTGAAACTAAGGCTTGGCTTATCTCACTTTGAACATGATCCACTAGACTCTTTGAAGAATCTGCCAAGTTTGTTGAGGTTAAATTTGTGGGATGATGCATTTGCTGGTGAAAATTTGCATTTTAAAGTAGAAGGGTTTCCTAAGCTGAAGGAACTTGATCTCACTCGATTGAATAAACTAAGTTCCATCATTATAGAAAAGGGAGCTTTGCTCAGTCTTGAGCATTTCAGATTTAACAACAACCCTCAATTGAAGGTGGTTCCGCAAGACCTTCGATACTTGGAAAACCTTCAATTCCTTGGATTTGCTGATATGCCATCTGAATTGGTTGAAAGCATTGATCCACGCAGAGGGGGAGAATGTCATTGGATAATCGAGCATATTCCTCTAGTACGCATTCGGCAGAAAGTAGGATCAAGATTTCATGACTATGAGTTGTATCCTATTCCTACTATATCTAATGTCTGAACTATCAAGGTACTATTTCCTCTTACAATGTAATGTTTGTTACGTTACTTGTATCATACTCAATTTTGATAGATTTCTGTGTCCATGAAAACAGGTTCATATTCTCCATGTTGCAGTTCACATGAAGATGTACTTTGTCTCTTCATTTCTTCTACGGTGTGCTTAATAAACTATTTCCTTGAGTTGAATCATCTACTCTATATTCAAGGAATGTGTGCTCTATTAATAGACCAATGCTTCTGTTTTCTATCATTTGTGTGTGATGTTGTTTATTATTGGTTCTTGTGTGATGCTTTTCTATAAACAGTACAATGTGTGTTTCAATTTGCTATGAAAGATGTATGCAATTTCGTTACTACATACACTGATAGTAATAGTGATGATTTTGGTGCAATTTTTTTATTCTTGTGTTGTTTCATGTTTTGCCCAATTGCAAATTCTACAACTTTATATTAAGCTCATTAATTTAAGGGATTGTTTAATACACTCTATAAGCTACTCACACACCCTGACAAAATTCTAAAAATAACCTCAAATTTGAATTCTAAAGTTTGAATTCACTTAATACACAACTCCTTTCTGGAACACGCCAAAGTTAGAGTTATAAAATAACTTTGGGCTTTAGAACCCGTATAGTAAATTACGGAGTCCAGATGCACCTAACAAGTCACACTTATGTCCAATTTCAGAACCACGCAATTTCAAAATACTTCGGATTCCAACGTCCAAAATTCCTATGGAGATTGGAATCCAGATGTTTTTTTGTTAAGTATTTGTGTATTTCCATCTCCCTTTCTATTTTCATTTTTACAAACAGAGCAAAACCAGAGCTTCTCCTCATTTGCATTTTCAAAGTTTGTTCCATCATTTTTCAAGCATTCTCGGAACTTCTACTCCATTGCATTGAAAATTATCACGTCTCTACTTCCCTACATTGCACGTCTCTACTTCCCTACATTGCACGTCTCTGAAGTTCTCTATTACATTGGTGAGTTACTCATTTCGTTTTCTTTTTTAGTTGGCATTTATGCACTACCTAAATAGTTTATATGTATGATACATTAGGCTTAAATGCAATAAATGTGTCATTTTCGTTTGTGCAAGCTTTGTTTCTGCTTCGTATTCTCTAATTCAATGCAGTTCAAATTTTGAAATTCGAACTCTAAGTCCGAAGACAAAATTTAGAATTACATTTTATCTATTTTATGGATTAGTTTGTTTTTGTGTTGGTTTTGCTTCGTTGTTTTTTGTTTATGTACTCTGCTATGTTATGATTTTTCTGGTTTGATTATAGGAAAAATATCTGACAACTAAGAAAAACTGGGACATAGTAGAGTGACCCATGATGTTCGTTCGCAGTGAAAAAGCTAGACCCTCGCAACATGCAATTGGAGAGACTTCGTATGCTTGTGAGGGTCGTCTTTCCTGGTTCATGTGTCTCCTGCATCGTCTTCCCGGATTCATGTGTCCCTTGCTTGTCGCTATGCGAAAAATGACACAGAGTCGCCATCGGATTTTATTTATCCTAAGGAGGGAAAAGGAAATAACGATAAAACCTTTAGGGAAAGATCATGGTCATCGCAACCAAGTTTCGGGTTCGGAAGTCGGTTATGCGAGGGGAAAGTATTAGCACCCCCTCGCATCCATTGTACTCGATGGGAATCTTCTAAGTTGTCTAGCTCGAATGGGTGTTTTAACCTAAAAGTTTGCTTGCTTTAAAGAAAAGAGGGGTTGGTTTTTTTTTAGAGTGCTCGCCAAGAATTGTGGTCCTTGTGACTACGTATCTTCACTTAAAAGAAGTGAAGAATCAGAGCTCCGTAATTTGGAGGCTTGTGAAATGATTGTATGTTGGTTGATTTTATACCTTGAAAAAGGGTTTTCGGATTGATGCCCTAAGGCGATAAGATGTTTGATGAGTTGATGTTATTTTTAGGTTTTTTAGAAGAAATTGTTCATGTGTTAACTTTCCGGTGTTTCAAATTGCACCTCATTTGGATTTACGAAACTAAAGTTATGGAAAAAAAGATTGGATAAAATATAATGGTTTGAACTCAACAATTTTTTAAAATTCAATTAGCATCAATCGATTGACATTATTCCTCATTACATTCTGCCTTTTCAATTATTTACGTTTTGGCTAAGAGAAATCGAATGAATAAATGAATTAATCAATTGACATAGTTCTTTTTAAATTTGTCTGATTTTTCACGCGTGCAATCGATTGACATAGTTCTTTTCAACGTGTTTACTTCATCTTACACATCCTCAAACCCTCATACATCAAGTCAGTTCACATTATAACATCCAAACACATCTTATCGTAAATTTAACAACATATAACAATATCATAACAATTAAACATGTTACAACGCACAGATTAAATCATGAATCATAACAAGTAGACACACAATTTGCATCAAGAGCACATGAACACATCAACAATGGTGAAATAAAAATAAAAGCCTAGAAGAGGGTGAGAATTCCTCTCTGCCCTTCACACAATATACATCCATAAAAGAGTAATCTTCCCCTTGTCTTAAATTTTCAACAAAGTTCTCCAAAATAATATGTAGTGTCAAAGTGTCAAAGTTCAGCCCTCACCTTTTCTATTTAAGCCAAAACCTAATTCCTCTAATTAAGTTATTTCCTTATTACCTTTAATTTACTCCAGTATTCTCTCTTTTGCCCTTACCCCTCTTAACAACTCTAATTTCCTTTATTTTTAATTTCTAATAATTCAATTATCCACCAAATTCTATTATTTCCCTTATTTTTTTACAACTACCTTATTTTTAATTATTCCACTCAACTTAAATTAATTAAAATTAATCTAACTAATTTATATCATTCCCTTAATTCTCTCCCAACCTTCCAAAACACATATATTTCTTATTATCCAAATAAAAGCACATAAATCACTTAATAATATACCACTCTTAAATTTCGTCGTTAAAATAAAGTTAGGATTGAGGACTTCGATTTCCTCAAAGAGGTCGACCTCCTGTTGTCAATTCTGAAGGTTGATGACATTGTCTTCTAAGGCTCGATTGTAGCGGCGTAATTCCTCCATAGCTTTTTTCTACTATGACTATGTGGTCATTATCAGACCTAACTTCGATTTCCTCAAAGAGGTCGACCTCCTGTTGTCAATTCTCCTCCATAGCTTTTTTCTACTATGACTATGTGGTCATTATCAGTAATAGCTTTTTTCTACTATGACTATGTGGTCATTATCAGTAGTTGACGTTACACCTCATGTTTGTACCATCTTGGGAATATAGGTGTGACCTAGGTTTGTTCTACAAAGACTCCACGATGGGCGCCAATTATACTATTTAGAGTATAATAGTTGAGAGACTTTATATATAAACTAATGGGTTAAGGGAGTTTTTGTTTTTAAAACATAGAGTTAGTGGAGTTAATTTCTTAAAACTTTTATTTAATTAATTATTATTATTATTATTATTATTATTTATGTTAAAAATTTTGGAGGAAAAGGATTATAACTTAGTATGATGATAACGAAAAATAATTAATATAAAAAAAGTAATAAAATATTTATAACAAAAGGTATTGATATATTTTTAAAAATATTATACACTAATTAATATTAAAAAAAAGACATATATTTATCATTTATAATTGAAAATATTTATCATTAAATTTACGTAGAAAATATTTATCATTTATAAGTGAAAAAAAAATATGAAACAAAAATATTTATCACTAATATGAATAATCTACCTAAAATATTTTGTGACAAATAAACCTAGAGTCTACTTTCACTTTTATTTAAATAAGTGGTTTGACATTGCTCATTTGCTCTCACCTTGTTATATATGTATGTAATTTATTATTTTATGCTATTAATATAAATATTGTGAGTTTGTTGATTCATGTTTTTTCTATTTTTAAACAAAATTTGTATTGTTGATTCATGTTTCTATTAATATAAAACGTAAAAAAAAAACATTTATTAATATAAAAAATTATGAGACAAAATTATTATCTTTCATAAATATATACAAAAATACGAGACTATTATTTGTTGCTAATACATAAAAACGGAATATATATATATATATATATATATATATATATATATATATATATATATATATATATATATATATATATATATATATATATATATATATATATATATATATATATATATATATATATATATATATATATATATATATATATATATATAAGAAAAAAAACAGTTCTTGTTTCTGATATGTTAATGTTGATTGTTGATAATTTATTGAATGATCAAAACAAATCATTATCATATTATAACTATAATTATTTCATTAAATCACGTTGAAAGTATTTTAATCTCAGCAAAATACCTCTAGCAAATAAATTAAATATTATTTTTTTAAATAAAAAATTATTTTACATAAAAAAAATCAAAGTCTAAATCAAATCAAACAATTAATATGAATTAATATCAATAAAAAAATAACTTTACTCAAGGAAGCAATCAAAACATGATTAATACTAATAATTTTTATTCGAAAAACAAATATAAATATATAAATTAAAAGAGAGAAATTTGAGTATAAGAAACACTCACTCTCAACCAAAAATATTTTCATACAAGAGTTCTAATAATTTGACAGAAAATAAAAATAAATATCAAGACATAATTTCAACTAGAGAGTAGCAATCAAATTAACAAGAACTTTGTTATATGGAAATAAAATATAAATACTAATTTAAAGCTTAAGTGACAAATCAAGATCAGAAGATTCAGAATTTGAGGGTTCTTCTTCAATATTGGACTTTGATTGATCATTTATTTCATCCTTGATAGAAGTAGAAGCCACCATAATTTTCTTTTCTAGGTTTGAGTTTGAACTTGTAGCAACATTTGTAGAAGAAACTCCAAATTTTAAAAGAGAACTAAATTTATCACTTGCACCACCATCTTCAACTTTTATACTATTTGCACCCCCAATAGCTAGGGTTCCAATCCCTCTATTCCCACCTCCCATATTTCTCAATGACAAAACAGAAGGGTTTAGTATATCTTGAAAACTCAAAGCACCATTAGTATAACCAAAACTATGGGGGGTTGTCCTAGGGCTAAAATAAGGTGGTTTTTGAATTGTGGAATCCATTCTAACCCCGAGTCTATAGTTATAAGTATAAGGTGTAAAAAGATTGCTTGAATAACTAAAATAAGGGTTAAAGTGAGATTGTCCTAAACCTAAAACACTGCCATCGTACCTTTGCTTACGTTGTTTTTCTAAAGCGCGTTCTGCCTTATGAGCATTCTGATGGCCTCCTAATGCTTGCGAAGTTGAAAATTTTCTCTTGCAAAAAGAGCATGAAAAAGATCTTAAATCAGAACTCTTCTCTTCAGTGTTGTTATTATCTTTCAATTCAGTGTTGTCATTAGGTAAACAAGACGATGAACCAACTTGTGTAAGATTTAAAAAATCATGCTCTTGTATCTTTAACACGGGAGCAGGATCCTCTTTCGATAGCATCACAAAATCAATCAAATTGTTGGAATTGGAATTCGAGGATCGATCTTGTTCAACCTCCATGTTGACCACATTTTTTAAGTGGGAAGAATCACCTTGATCATGTGAAGTGATAGAGACACTAGAGGACTCAGATGTCATGACACAAAAATAATTAGAGAAGAGAATGAAGTTTTGGGTTTTTTGATTTGATGAAAAGAGAAGCTTATAAGAAGAGTTATTTATTTTAAAAATATTTGAGTTAATGCTAATAATATCTTGATAGATAAGGAAAGAGATATCATATGAATATTATTTGCACTTATTATTTGAATTATAATAAATATAATAGCTAAGGATTGAAAATTTGAAATTTTGAAAATCTTTAACTTCCTTAAATGATTTGTTAATTATTTAGTTAGTGTAATCTTCCAAAAGAAGCATATTAGATGATTGGTGTTAGTGCATCATAGTTTTTATGTAGTTCAAATGTGAATTCAAAGTGAAAAACAAATTTGGAAATTTGGAAATAATTTTGGATTTAATTAATTTTGGCTTCATCAATGGATGATATGCTTATATTTTGTTCAAAACAGTTTGGCTTGATAAGTTCAAACGTTACAATTAATTAATGATTATTATTACTATAATAATAATAATGTATATGTTCAAACCTTGTCCACTTTTTTGGTACATGATTCAAATCTTATTTATGGCTTTTAGTTTTTGTGTTGAGAAATAACATGAATGTGTATAATTCATAAGCAATAATATTCAACTTTCAAGTATATGTCATTTTGTACTACTTTATTATTATTATTATTATTATTATTATTATTATTATTATTATTATTATTGTTATTATTATTATTATTATTATTATTATTATTATTATTATTATTATTATTATTATTATTATTATTATTATTATTATTATTATTACTATTATTGCTATTATTATTATTATTATTATTATTATTATTATTATTATTATTATATTATTATTATTATTATTATTATTATTTTATTATTATTATTTTTTGTAAAAATTTTAAATATAATAAATATATCAACATATCTTTACTCGTAAAGAAAATTTCTAATACCACTAGAATATTTTATGTAATTAAATAATAGTTTGATGTTTTAATTTCATTGGAGATAGTTCTAATTCCTTAATTAAGGATAGTTGTAAAATGAATATTAATATTAATTTAATTAATAATAATTTTTTTGTCCCAATTTAATAAAAATTAATGATTACATAATGGTCATGAAAGTTGAAAATATAAATTGATAAAAATATATAAAAAGTAATCAAATGTTTTCATAGAGATGAAAATATTTTCATTTAAATTTTAATTCTTAAATATTATCTTCTTGTTTTTTTAGATATTTTTACATATAATAATATACTTTCATCTAGAATATTTTATATAATTCTTAAATATATCAGATAGGTGAAAGGATAATAAATAGTTATACAAAATAAGTATACTTATTTATTTAAAATATATATATATATATATATATATATATATATATATATATATATATATATATATATATATATATATATATATATATATATATATATATATATATATATATATATATATATATATATATATATATATATATATATATATATATATATATATATATATATATATATATATATATATATATATATATATATATATATATATATATATATATATATATATATATATATAGAGAGAGAGAGAGAGAGAGAGAGATAAACTTATATATTGATATGTGTGTGTTATATAAAAAGAGTGTAAATTATTGTTTTAAATTATTAATAATAATATTTTTTCATTTTTCATAATATATTAATCATAATTTAATATAAATAAATTCTTATTAATTACTTAAAAGAAATATATAGAGTACTACTTTAAACACACTAGTTAAAGAAAAATGTATATCTTTGAGAATGTTGTAGTTAAATTACTACCACTGGAATTCTATTAAATAGAAATCACTCAAGCATTAAGAATTTTTATTTTTATTTTTTTATAAGCAAGATTCTCATTCAATATGGGTATTAGGGTCCACAACCCAATTACAATTTTTTAACAGTCAAAATTACTATCCATAACAAATTAAATAAAATGTCAAGGGTATTTACACCATTCGTAATAGTTACAAACAAATTCAGGTTTCGATTGCATTACTATCTACCACCATGATAATGAAATAATATTTTGCATAATTATGTCGGGATCACCAACTTCAGAATTTGGTTCCTAGTCCACCATATGCATCCACAAACCAGCTGCTGCAGCCGTGGGAACCTTGCCCTTCAGCTTCAGTACCCAGACCAATAAGTGACTACAACACCTCTTGTAGATCAGCATTGTCTTCTAACCTATTGAACCCCAACTGCCACCTCCACTCCTCGCCTTCCCACACGCCCATTTCATTTACAACCCTAAATTTCCTCTCTGAAATTGAATACAAACTAGGATACAAATTTTGCAGTGTATTATTGTCAATCCTTCTGGAAGACTATAATGGAGCACATGCTTCATCACCTAATCTAAAGGAGATTATGTTAACAAAATCCTCAACCCCCAAGTTTTCTCCACACTGCATCACGTCCTTCCACCATAAGGAATCATGAGTTTTTGTTCTTGAGAGCTCCTTACAAACAATAGTTTTAGCAAAATTTTCATATCTACCTTATAAAATCTCAACCCAAAGAGCTTCTTTTTTCGTTTAGAAACCTCCAAAGTCACTTTACCCTTAAAGCTTTGTTGAATAGTGTAATGTCTTTAATGCTTAAGCCACCCCATCCTTAGGCTTGCATATTGATGTACAACTCACCTAAGACATGTCTCTGCTTTCCTTTGAGCCAAACCACAAGAGGTCTCTTTGAATTGAAACCAATGCTTGCAAAACTTTACGTGGAGCCTTGAAAAAAGAAAGATAATGCTCAACTACTATTGAGAAAATAAAAGGAGATAAGGGATCACCTTGTCTCAATCCCTTAGTAACCTTGAAGTCAATAGTAGGCTTCCTATTGACTATACCAGACATAAAGTTATTCATGCCACTACCCTCTATCCACTTCAACCATCTATTTCAAAAGCCCATAGCCACCAACATTTTTCTTAGATAGCCTCAATCCACATAGTCATAGGCTTTAGCAAATTCAACCTTGAATAGGACACAACTCTTGTTCTTTCTTTTGGCTATATCAATGATTTCATTTAAAACCACGACACCATCAACTAATTGTCTCCCTTGTATGAAAGTCGTTTGTGAAGTTGCAATCAACTTGCCTATGATACCTCTAAGTCTAGAAGCCAATAGCTTTGATATTACCTTATACACATAAACAATAAGACATATAAGTTTATAATCATCCAGATTTTGAGGACTATCAAGTTTTGGAATCACTGCCATAAACGAAGAAGACATAGATTTAGGAAGTCAAGTAGTATAGTAGAATTCTTGATACACTTAACAATATCAGGCCCCGACACATCCCAACCCCTCTGCAAAAACTCAATGTTAAAACCATCAGGTCCACAACTTCTATTTCCTACACAATCAAATACTACCTCCCTGATTTAATCTTCATTGAATAACTCCTCTAACTTTACATTATCCTCATTGGAGATTCTTCCAATGTCTGAAACATCTATACTTGGCCTTATCATAGGATTGTTTTGGAATTTGGCTTCAAAATGCTCCTTGGTAATCTTCTTAACCAAACACACTTCCTCCACGACTTTAGAGTCCACTTGGTTAGAGGTTATAGAATTCCTCCTAGATCTATGCTTGTACAAAGAATGTAAGTATTTTGAATTTTGATCACCTTCTTGTATCCATTTGACTCTAGACTTATGTTTTAGAAACTCTCTTTAATACGCGACTTCTTCTAGAATTCTTCCCGGGCCTTTTTCCTCATCTTAAAACTTTGTATGGAAGGATTGCCAATTGCATCATCCATGTCAGCTTCAACTTCATTTATAATGCCCACCTCTTCTTCAATACTCAAGTCAACCCAACCAAAAACGTTTTTGTTCCACCATCTTAATCTATCCCTCAATATTGAAACTTCTTGCTTAACATGTAAACAACATAACCAGTAACTTGAAAATAATTTCCTTAACAAAATTCAAGAAATTAGGATGCTCGTACCAACATGTGAACACTTTAAAAGGCTTAGGGCCCTAATTTACATTCTTTTCCTTAATCCATATCGGTCTATGGTCAGAGATATCTCGATCTACAATATATTTAGCATCTACATTCCAAGTGTTTAGTAGTCCATTAGTCACCAAGAATCTATCCAACCGACTTCTACAAGAACCACTTGAATTAAACCATGTAAAACGAATCCCAACTGTAGGCAGGTCCACCAGCTTCATTAGATTGATGAAAGTAACAAAATCTTCAATTTCAGGTTTCCCATACAGCCTCTACCTCTTCTTTCCTCCTTTGATTTAACAACATTAAAATCCCCCAGCACCCACTCACAGGCAGAAATTTCAATTTTCAATTATATTAGCACAAACCACATTCTCCTCTTCTCTACTATGTGACACGAGGAGTATACGTTAATCAAATAAAAATTATTCCCTTTCCACATAACATTAATTCCAAAATACCAATTACCATTAAAGATAGAAATTGGAATAATAGACTCCTTCCTTCATATAGACAACATACCACCAGAATTACCCACTGAGTCTACCATGAAGCACTGATAATCTTCAGGTCCCCATACATTATAAATCAAACGATCCTTCATCTTTTGACACTTTGTATCCAAATTTTCAGCCACCATCTTAGCTTCAAACTTTTTCCTAACAATTTATTCAATTTCTTTGATGATGCCTTCGAATAATTTATCATCCTCCTCACCCTCTATTTCCAAAATCTTGATGGTTCGCTATACTTTAGTAGGGATATCTTCAAAGTTTCTCCTGATGTGAGAATTGCCTTGATTCACATCTGAGTCGTCAATGGAATCGCAACATAAAACAGAGCCTCCTGAGTATCTTGAATAAGAATCTCCAATTTCCAAATGACTTATATGATCAAGATCTTTTATTATTGGGAACCAACCAACATGTGGATTCTCAACATGTATTAGGGCAGAGAAGTACGAAGGCGAAAATGGG